AACATAAGACCCATTTTGCTAGTTATAAATTTACTTATGTGAGTAAATGAGCAGCCATGACGCTCTTGCATTCATATCCTATCCCACCCAATATTTTAGGATAGGACAGTCCATTTTATTAGCAATTTATTTTAAGACACTGTTTGGGCTAATACGCATCATACCCTACTACAATATACTCTTTTCTTGAAGGTTATGATGTCGTATCGGTTCGGAAATACTGCTGCTGGAAGTTGATTCCAAAGAGTGGATATTCCTTCCAAAAAGACTGGCAACAAACCTGCAATTTCTGTGATGTTGCGGAGTTATGGGCGGAGGTAATCACTTACCATCAGGTGTAGCGCATGTTCGTTTGTCCTATATTTTATATAAAAACAATCCTATTACGATACGGATCATCGAGAATGCTTACTAATGTTACCAGGGGAAGACTTTGTACAAAATTCGTTTGCTTGGACACCTCTGTCCCATTCGTATTTCTACTGTGAAGCAGTTGCTTTTGCATGGCTGTGAAGGGTGGGATATGGCAGTGAATTTACAGGGCACAGAATAGCAACACATGGGAGGTAACATGGGCGAAACAGTATACTCTGTTATGTCCATGGTACTGCTGATGTCTATAGGCGACGGTTACCACTTTTCATCGGGTGGGCCGTCAGCTTGTTTGCCATTCTAAGTTGCATAAAAAAGAATATGTAAAAGGGAGTTTGTTACTTCATATATGTATTATGAAATTTAGTAAACATGTATAATATGGGGTGGAGAAGGAGATAGGCTGTTACTGTTTATCATATCACGGTCAAGCGACCACAGTCGCAGGTAAAAGCTAGTCAAATATAAAGCAAGTCTAAGACACTTCTTCTTGCGTTGCATATTATAATATATAGCTACTATAATTTATTACTTATCGTATTATTTTTGCACTATATATGTTATGCTTTATATATAAACCCTGTAGATACTTGCTCCTTCCAGGTTCTCAAGGTCGACTGGAAGAAATCCCTTTGAGGGATAACTCTGTCTGTGTACATTTTTGTTATAACCTATAATCTATACTATAAGTAAATGTGTATATATAAATAAATAAATAAATCTTTCGTTGTAATTAAAATTTTATTTTTAAGACAGAATGTTTTTTTTATGCGACTTAGAATGGCAAACAAGCTGACGGGCCACCTGATAGATAGTGGTAACTATCGTCTATAGACACAAACAGTACTTTTTTTTTAAGTGTAAAAATGGCATGGTAACTCCGGCTGCGCTATCGGAATACATTGGTGGGGCACCAGTGACAAGTGATAGATGAGGATGTAAAGGCAGGTCAGTTAGCCCATCGTGCGAATTCAACAATAAATTAATCACGATAGTTTCTAGGAGGGACCGCGTGGAGGTCGATCTGATAGGGTATATTGATAGCAATGGGGACTATCCTCCCCATTACTAACAATTCCTTCCCCCCACATGAACAGTACTGCGGACGTCACTGAATATCTGTGATACTCATGACACCAATACTTCTTGAGAAGAAGGGTTTGTTAATAATGCGTTCCTCCAGGACACCAGGACCAATCCCATTACTAGAAATATACCCAGTCAGGTCGACTTCCACGTGGTTTCTCCTGGAGACCATTGTGCTCTATTCCAGATGTCTTAATCGCGATGGGCTAACTGACTTGCTTTTCATTCTCACCTATTATCTCTCACTGGTACCCTGCCAGCGTAAGCCATTAGCGCAGGCGGGGTCACCATTCCATTATCATCCATTAAAAAACCATGGTCCCTTGACCTCATTTAAAAGAATAAATACTCGTTTCCTTCAGTCGTCATCATTCTACTAATCCATTAATAACCCACTGCTGGGCACGAGCTTTTGTCTTAGAAGGTAGATATATCAGTCTACTATTATACCTACTTACCAAAAGGATTAGTGTGATCCTATCTCGAGTTTTCCTTATCATGCATAGTCACAGCGTTTTGTTTCCGTTTGGCATTCACAAAGTCTTGGGCATGAAAGGGGTATTAATATTGTGTTTCTATTTATTTCGGTATATATGGATGAAATTTGAAATATTACATATTTTTAACTGCCTTAAAAAATGTTTAAATTTTCTAGAAATCCTTATTATTGATTGGCTGATTTAACATTTGAATTATCTGGCAATATTTACCTGATGTGCCGTTTGGTCCCGGCATAGAATGGGCCATTCCTTTCTCTCCCGTGGATGTCGTAAGAGGCGACTAAAGTAAATGGTTGAGGGATAGTCATCAGCGTCCCTCTTAAAACATCACCAAAAGCTTAACTGCGGTTGCCAATCCGCTTGCCAAGCGTAGCAACTACTGATAAAACTCCCCTTATGGGGAAGACCTATGTTCAGCAGTGGACAGTTAACGGTTGGTATAATGATAATTAGCCTAACTAATAATAAATAACCATCGTCTATAAAGATGTGCCACCGTAGACCTCCCATATATTGTGAAGCCTATGTCGCATGGGCTTCACAATATATGTGAAGTCCATAGCAGGAGTGGCCAACTGGTAGATCGACTATTAGTCGAGTCGATCGTGGCCAAGCAAAAAATATAATGTAATTCTATTATATAATCAATTTTTACTAGTTATTATTTAGTTTCTCTTTAGCTGAACGGTTTTAACCTTTGTACATTCTATAGTTTTCTTTCAGCTTCTTAGAGATCGACTGTAAGAGATCCCTTTGTAACTCCGCCATTGTATATTAAATCTTTCAACGTATCCAATATAAATTACGTACAATAAAAATTTTACAATAAACATACAATATAATATTTTGCTAATCTAGCGGAAGATGCTCAGACGCAATGCTCACACTAATATAAGTAAGTAGTCACTGAGAATAATTTTTAGTTTTATGTTTTTCCTTTTAATAACAAATACTACAATATATGTATATCTATACTTATAATAAATCTGTAGGGAGGTCAATTCTGTACATGAAATATATTTTCAAAATAACTACCAGGGGGTGATTAGTGATCGATACTGATGTCAAAAATGCAATCAGTAAAATTTTTGTCTGTCTGTCTGTATGTTCGTTATAGAAACAAAAACCACTCGACGGATTTTAACGAAACTTGGTACAAATATTCTTTATACTCCTGGGCAGGTTATAGTATACTTTTCATCACGCTACGATCAATAGGAGCAGAGCAGTGAAGGGAAATATTGGGGAAACGGGAGAAGTTACTCCATTTTTAAGCTTCCGTCGCGTGTGCAGCCTTAATGACTTTTTAAAATGTAAAAATGTCCACCCGTGCGAAGACGGGACGGGTCGCTATTACTACATAATTGTGTACTAAACTATGTTGTTTCATTTGAGAATTCGAAAAGTATGTAAGTAATCGATAGATCTCATAGGATTTCGTCAGTAAACAGTAGATCTTGGGTCTAGTCAAGTCGTCCACTCCTGGTCTACATAGACCATGCCACAAATGGTACCCCATTAGATTAGTACACGCAAGAAGACTATATGTTACGAATCCCGTCGACTCTCACAAAACTCCAACACCAAATATTGTCTGGATATTTACATGTTATCCCCAAGTGACCTCCGCTCGTTTCATTAAGCCAAATAAAATGTGACTTCTTCATCCACGAGGCTATTATTCAAATTTATTACTTTAATTTTATATGCCCTTCCTTATATTAGACATCTCATTACTCATTTCTGATTATGCCATCAGGTTAAGTGTAATTTCATCTGTCCTAAAATTGCGGCGAAATTTCGTCAAGATTAGACCGTTTTATTACTTATGAAATTTAAATTTTGACATTGTGTAAATTTCCAGTGAAAGGGGACGGATATATTGCGTTGAAACGCGACAATAATGTCTTAGTTTGATGGAGGGGACCCATGGACAAATATAAAAAGTACTGTTGCAAATTTAAAATTAATTTTGGCATATTAGGTCATTACTCACTATTTTAAACTGTGTTTTAAAAATCCATCCAGAGGGAGACTTTGTACAAAAGTCGTTTGCTTGGGTACCTCTGTCCCATTCGTGTTTCAACTGTAAAACAATTGTGTTTGCATGGCTGTGTTTCGGTTTGAAGGGTGGGATATGGCGTGAATTTACAGAGTACAGAGGAATAACATCTGAGTCCTCAAGAGGGGTATCATGGGTGAAACAGTGTACTCTATTATATCCATGGTACTGCTCATGTCTATAGGCGACGGTTAATGCTTTCCATCAGGTGGGCCGTCAGCTTGTTTGCCATTCTAAGTTGTATAAAAAAAAAAAATTAGCCCTAAGGTTTCTAATAAGGTTCTTCTAATCGATTCAAGCCTGTCATATCAAATATTTTTCTATTTTATATATTTATCACTAGTGTAGTATCAATTGATATTTTAAATTTGAGAGACATCATCATTATCACCTTCCAACCTTTATCCTATTTATTTGGGATCGGCATAACATGTTTTATTATTCCATTTTTCTCGAGAAAAAGATTTAATTTTAATGAGTGACTTAATATTTGTATATTTACGATTCGTAATAGTTCAGTAATAATTGTTCTTATTAAGTTTTAGACCTCCATACTGCATGATTTATGTTTTATAAAAGGGAATTAACGCTATCATTAAGGCAAAACCCTCAGTATACACCATATACCACAGCACTATTCTGTGGCGACACATTTAGTGTAATGTGTATCAATGAGTGGGTAGAATTAAATACTTCTGCCTCGGAAGCGCAGAAATGACAGCGCCACGTCAGTTTACTCGTGACCGCCGCCGGTGTAACACGGTCGAGACGTCGAGATAATTCAGGCAAATTATCATAGTTTACCTAAATGATAGCTTTAATTTTTGTCTCTTATAAAATATAATTGTTCTTTGTAATTGGAAGAAATTTGTAATTGGAGATTATAAGTACTTATCCTTATGTTATCGATTACTAATGTGTTATAATACCATCAGATACTTACGTTTTTAAGGAAGGAATAATTTAGAATAAAAATCTGATTATTTTTTAGAAACTGATGATTTATTTTTACCATATAATAATATATATTCATATTGAAACAAATTACGATACAAAATGTACATGGTATTTCATAACTACAGTATTGTTATTAATTACTTAACAATTTAAAAGACTACTTATTTGCAGTTAGAATAAGTATGTACCTTAAAGAATACAAAGTCAATAATTTATACAACGAACGAGGGTAGTAAAATAATAATGCGTTGGAACAATTATCCTCGTATCAACTTATACATACAAATTAAACCTCCTAAACTATTGATGGACAAAAGATTTTTAGTAAAATAATCCCTAAAGAGGGTAACAATTTTTTATTTCTTACAAGAGGACCGTGCCTTTACTTAAATCAAATCCTGATCTAATATGTACAATATTTCTGTACCAATCAAGGAAAAAACGGACATTTCCTTTTTTGGTGCGCCAAATTTTCGAGATTGTTAGTGCTAAATCGAGATCCATCGGTAACGGTATCTAAGAGCTTCATTATTTTTTTTGGTATACATTGAATAAAACAAAACTAATAAAAATCAGGTATCAATTATTCAAAGGCCACATTGAAAACACTAGGTTCATCTGGAAGCTGTCAAAACAACAATCAGGTGGCAAGTGAGAGATAACTTTGAAGAGACTAGACGAATCGGATCACACGGACGTGTGGCATAAAAGACTTCCAACACAACATTGTGGCCTTAACAAGTTTATTAATAAGATATTTACAAAGTCCAATGGAAAAGTAATGGAAAAAGCATGGGGGTAATTGCGTGGGTCGAATGTCATCAGTCAATGTTTGGTGTACAGTTAAAGCTATGTTTTAGCTTCGAAATTAGGGTAAAGTTTGGCATACATTACTTTACAACTTTACAATAGTACAAATAGAAGCACACACAAACTTCAAGGTACACTTACATGTGGCTAATCTTAATATTACACGATAAATTTTAATGGACCATTTTTCTTTAATAATTTTTGTTCCTAAAAAATTTGATCAACGAATTATTTACAGTAAAAAAATTGGAATAACTTCAAAAATTCAAACTTCAACAACTCGCGGTATCGTGGTGAGAACAGTTGATCGTTGCAAGTCAGAGCATCTAAAGATCTTATGTAAAAATATAAGTGCAAGTAGATGGTCCAACATTGCAACAGTACGGTAATGGGGGATGAATATGAACACAAGTTTACGATTTACAATATTAATACGATCACAAAGAACAATATTATTTTGAGAAATTCCTTTAGCAGGAAAAGAAATTAAATCATGGAACGTAATTATATCCGCTAACACACCTATAAGATACTTCATCTTTCGCTTAATTAATATCATTAATACCTATTATTGTTACTCCTATATTAGTTCCTTGATTCAGATTGTGCGAAGTTTTCATTTGTTTAATCATTATCATTAACTTTATCATTAGACCAAATATATTTAATGACACAACTACAAGTACGTCAACAACAAAATTGATTACTTTATTATAATATGAAATCACTACAGCTTGATGTTCACATGCAATACATGGGTTATTTATATTGTTTAATTTTTATCATTTATAGACACCAATTAGATACCAGTTAATTATAATAATTACACGTTACATGAAATGTGCTCAAGAATCGAAAGGAAACTGCTTCGTTGTGTCTCGAGTGAGATGAGAGTGAAGTTAACCAAAATCTTAATAGTTAGAAGACACTTATCAATTAAATCAACAATGGCAATAAATACATATAATACACAGATATATATATATATATATATATATATATATATATATTACGATCAATTTTTAAACATAACGAGAATATTATCAACTTTTCAGTTCTGTGAATAAATCACTAACATATTAAATTGAATCGCATTTATATGTCTAACTTTACAAATATATAATTTTATTTTATATTACAAGTAATATATATATATATATATATATATATATATATATATATATAATGTTTGATGACGTTGCTTTTATTTCTTGCGATGTCTCTTTTTCAGAATAATGTTCGACTACTTGGATGAGAAGCGATTTTGTAAGCTTAATGCCATGCGATGTCAATACAATATAACGTAATATTATTTTTTTTTTTTAATAATATATAAGTATTTAGTTACAACCTACAACAACTAACTACGTCCTCTATGATAATTTGAGACGCATATATATATACCCTCTAATGATTCTCACAGTATCGCTTTATTTTGACTTTTATTATAAACAGTTTTATATTTACATTCGTAATTTTAAAAATACCTCCAAGTAATTGAAAAAATTTAAAGGCTACGAAGGAAGAAAGCCTGTGACCATATGCAAAGGATCAAGTAATTAAGGGACAAGGAAGGCATTCTGTAACATTTCATTTGGATTTTTACATCTAAATTTTAAATGAAAACATTAAACCCTGATAATTCCAAACGTTGAAACACCACAACAAGAAGCGCTAATTACAACATTATAAATTCGATGTTGCCTTTATAAATACTTTAGGGGTTTTCTCACACTCCCCCACTAATAAAAATTACGCTGCCGCAACAATTTCTAAACGAGTTGGCGTAATTTCATTTGAACAATTATCGTATAAATATATAAATTGCAAAGACTTAAATTTGTTATTCAGCACAACATATTATAATCATTATTCTAATTGCAACAACATTTTTTGTTCAAAACCGGCATACAATTGTGTCAAAAGTATAAATTTTATTAGCTGAGGAGATATTTAGACTAATTTGAGCTTCGGTCAATATTAATATTGCTTTATATCGTTGAATCGAAGTATCTTACGAGGACAATATTGAGATTAACGTATATATATATAATGTAACTAAACATGATAAGTGGAGAAACATAATATATCCAGAAATATATTCAAGGGAAACGTGATACAAAAGTTTTATAAGAACGTTACCAACTCATACAGTAGCAAAAAATGACGTTTTATTGTCAAAGTTTGAAAATATGGAGGGATATATTACAGAGCCAAGGTACACGATCAAATTGAATGAAATTTTATATTTCCTACTGTTTGTTGTATTCTGTAACATTACATTAGTGAGTGAATGAAAGAAACAAAAATGCATATTCTGGTGTCGAAACAAATCTTAAATGTACATTTTTTTTTCATTAACAGCATCTAATATCGACTACACGCTTAAAAGTATTTTGAGCATCACTAAAAATATACATAAGTATTATGAAATTTCATGTAGTTTATTAGGCACAAATTTATTTTTTTTTCCATTCAATATATATCGCTCTACTACACACAAGACAAATTACTTATAAGGTCGCAATAATGTAGATAACACGTAGTTTATGCAATCATTGTATTTATAGACACTTACTAAATATTACACGAATTTTTTACATATATATTTATAAGAATATAATATAGGTAAAGCATTTTCTTCTCTTAATAATAGAGCACAACGGATCCCTTATTTTAAATTTAGGGACACAGAATATCTACAAATATTGATTTCACAATCTGAAACAGTATATTTTAGGTTTGTTTATCTATCTTAAAAATGAATGAGGTAACATTACCCCCTAACTGACACCATTTTCACTGAATTGACAGATTTTTTAGCTTTTTTTTTTTAAATTTATCAATCTTGTGCGTTACTGTGGATTTAACTGAATCATTAATTGGGAATTTAGGATTATTTTTTACATTTCTTGAATATATTTTTTCATTCGTTTTCCACAGTAACACAAAGTATCAAAAATACGTTTTGAATTTCATAATATAACGGTAAGTATGCCCAGTTATAAAAATTAAAAGATAGAGAGAAGCTAGCGTTGCTAAAACTAATCTACGTACGCGATATCAGTCTCCACTAGAATCTTATAATTTAGAAAATCCATAAAGTAAAAATCACAGAGTTTGAATAGCAAAATATTTAAGTGAAACCGAACTTTTGCATGCCGATCCAAATATATTTCCCACCGTCCCGCAAAACTGTACTTTCCCATTATTGATATGTATCTTCTGTAAACCTTTTGTATTGAAAATGTTAGCGTGAAGGCGTAAAGAAAGTAAGAAGTAAAAGTGTCCCTTCACAACGATCCAAGTGCCATCATTACTATACAGTTAATTCATACCTAACCATTGAAGAGCTTAACCTTACCTATACATGCTAACGTATATTAGATCAACTCGATACATCGAATCAAACCATCGAATCAACCCCTGCCGTCACTAATAAATATTAATTTGAAACATGAAAAAGTCACGCGTGTGGAGAATCCTGAAGTGACATAAAGTTATGCGTATGGTTTACGCGTGACTTTCTCTCAAACTTTGGTAGTTCACGGAGCAGGGGCCCACAATCCAATCATGACAAACCTACTCGAAAATTCCGCACTCCGAAATTCTTGAAAAGACATACCGATTAGCTTCCAACAATAAAATTAAAATCATCGATCTATAAATCTACACGTGCACCAAAGTATAAAGTGGACTTACGTACACAGTTAAACGCAAGACAAAAATGACTATTATAACCTAATCTTATTTTTCTATTCCAATCTAAGTCATTTGAACATAAAATGTAAGTGATGCTTAAAGTACAAATGTTAATAAAGTAAAAAAGGGTTGACATAGAAATTGCGAACTTACTATTTTAAAATGTACTAGAAGCCAAGTCGAGTAATGTACAATTAGAGAATACGGACGCGACAACGCGGTGCGAGCGATGCGGCGAGCGGGAGACCCGAGAAGCGTCGTACTACATCGCTAGGGCTTGACATCTGAGCGATTATTTTAAAATACTTTACAACCCGAACGATGTAGTACCACATTTACAAGAGGCTCTAACTAACCCGTGGCTTACTAACCAGGCGACGGAGTGTAGACGGATTTATTTACTGAAATGCGTCTGAGACGTGCCGTTTGGAAATCACCACCATTATGTGTCAAAAGTAAATGAAACAAAAGCAACACGATAAAACGAGAACCAACTCACAGCCTATGTTAAACCCGATGCGTTTCCGAGTATGACGTTGAAGCGTCGCCTATTACAACGGAATTCGATCTACGAAACTAATCAAGAAATCAATAGAACTGAAGGAGAATGCGACCGGTCGGTCGGTTGACATTAAAATTAAAATTTTCACCCTCGATCCTTATTAAATAACTTTGTACATTGAATCCAAAAATCGACACGTCATTTTGGATGTAGGCACTCTCTAGGCGGGGCGGCGTGTGGTCGCCGCGTCGTCGGCCTCCGTTTGGCGGCTCGTTGGCCGACCGCATGAGATCAGTGGAACCGGCCGGCAGCGGCCGTAGCGGCTGACACCGGTCTACGACGTTGTCAGGAAAGACGAGAACGTGTTGTCGTCCCAGTCGCTCGCTACACCGATATCGCTCAGCATTTCGGAAACGTCTGGCGTGCAGGAGAACTCGAAGTGCGACCCTGACGATGACGATGCCGTCTCAAAGGATTCGATGTCTGTCAGTGCTTCAAGGTCAACTTCGCAGTCCGCTGGTAGCGGAAGCAAGTCCGTGATGGAGTACAGATCGGAGAGATCGGAAGGATCTCGACGAGTGCTGTCCTCATAGATACAGGCGGATTCAGGAGAATCAGGAGAGCCGGCTGGCGACGCTGGCAACGGCTGAGGTAATGGTGTTTCGACCGGAACGCTTGGAACGCTCGGCACGCTTGAAGCGAGTCGCGTTCGTCGTCTTGACACTCCTCTGTTGTTATTTGAGTCTGCCCTTTGCTTGCGCTTTTGTTTCGTGACTGCTCCGGAGCGCTGGGCTGGCTTTGCTGTTTTCTTGCGAGGCCTGTATTTGTAGTCAGGGTATTCGCGCATATGTAGTTGCCGCAGTCGCTCTGCCTCATCAATAAAGGGCTGTCGCTCTTCATCGTTCAATGTTTTCCAAACACGTCCCAAATTTTTTGAGATCTCCGCGTTATGCATATCAGGTGTCTGCTCGCATATTTTCCTACGTTCTATCTGAGACCAGACCATAAATGCGTTCATAGGCCTCTTTATGTGGTTTGGATTATTCTTCTTGGTCTGTGAACAAAAGAAAAGTATCCGATTAGTTGAGATTGTCTTAAAATTAATATCCTTATAGTTTAATGAAAACAAACCGATAAAATAGATTTACGTTCGAGACAGAAAATCAGTGTTATCAGTTTAATTGTGGAGACTACGATTATTATTTCAGGCATGTCCGATTCGCTAGCTCTGGCAAAGAGCAGGCTATATTGAATTAGTATGCATGACATTGCACCATTAAGTCTGCGGCCTTACTATTAATGACATTGTTATCATCAGAATTATTATTACTACAAACAAGTTGAATTATAATTATTCTAATAGTTCCATTACGGAAAATTTTACATAACTGGCGTAGGTTGAATGCACGGCCCGTAATCTAAATCGCGTTCATTTGGTTAGTGTTACTCGTGGCCCAATTTTAATTCTATTTTAACTGATCTACTAAAGCCATAAAACGGACGAGTGTTCTTTCGAAGTGCAGTAAACGCTTCCGCATCTCCATAGAATGTTATAAAACATTGACTAACTAGGATTTTAAGGACAGGGGAAGTCATTATCAAATCGTGCAGGAAGCATTAGGACAATAACGTCTCTACACTACAATCGTTTATCCTTCTTTATCCTTATATGAAAAAGAAAAGCTATACAGGAATTAGATAAGAGTTTCTGTATTCGACGAAATGGAAAGCATATTTTCGTGGTTTAGCCAGAGGGAAACTTTACGGCCCACTATCTGCGGAGCCGCTTTACGTAGAATCATAAAAACAACACCGCGCTGTAAGAACATAAGCGAATATTCTCCTTTATTATTCAAATCTTACTTTCGCTAAACTTCGCTCGGGCGGTCCCTATGGAAGCAGCGAGGGAAAAAACCGCCTCGACTTTATATTTTTTGTTCGTCTTATTTATATTCAGGACAAAAAAAGGGTTTGTCAGATGGCAACTAAATCAAGTTCGGAACGCCCACTCGGAGTCTCAAGGTGAACTAAATAGAGGTAGGCAGTTTTTTGCACTGCCACGAAACATATCCAGGTTGCCGCTTATTATTATTATTAAGGTTTTTTTGTTGGGCCAATTTGTTTTGAACCACAATCTAGACTGCATTGGATTATAAATTAATCACGTGTTTGTATGCAGCTTTTTTTATAGCGATGACTAACGATTTGTTGTTGCCATGTAACATTTAAAAGTGCGTTTTTTATCGGCAGAGTCACCTTTGTATATTTCATATTAGTACAAATTGGTTCGAATAAAATATTGTTTGATATTGTATATGCTCTATTTTAAGTTAATTTGAATATATATCATCAACTGCTTTTTCGATTATTGTTATTTCTTAGATGACCTTAAAGCTATTAGTCCGAATTTAATAACAATGCTGTCATCTGGAAGCATATAAAAATATAAAGTAGCGCATATCACGCTATGACAATTATTGTAAACACGATATACTATAAATCAATGACACTGGTACTATAATGAAAAAAGAATAAAATACATATTGAACTGTAAAACATCCTTTTAAAATACATCAAGATGTTGAATCAAGCACTAGTAGCGACGTAGATATTAATAGAAATCTCACGGATTCGATCGAAGGACTTAATAAAGCGCAAGATGTCGAAAAATTCCAATCTATATTCTCAAACGAAAATTGCTTCAATAATAAGGGTCGGAATTAATAAAAAGTAAGTTTCATATCTGCTATTGTAGCTCATTATTCGCAAACAAAAGGTGCTGGGACCTCATCTGGGCTCGCACTTGGCTTAATACAAAAGGCAGAGTAATCGTCTCTTTTGTTTGATGAAGTTCTAAATGTTGGACTTTGGAGATCGCCATTTCTATTTGTTCGCCCTTCTTCGCTGTCACTTGCCGAGACCGTTGTAGTATTTGTGCAAGCGTTTATGCCAACAAAATTATAATGTAAATATATTGTAATATTATGTTTGGCAATGCATTGAATTTTTGTTGACGTCCCATTCCATTAACCGTCAAGGACTTAAAAACGTCTTTATATTAAAAACATTCTTATCTCGGCTCCAAATAACCTTTATGACAATCATAACGTTTAATATATCACACCTTTGAATAAAAAAATACTTTATTATTATTATTTATAGTACTTGCTTATTTGCTTCCGTTAGCAGACCTGTTCTGTGGTACTATTCTAATCTAATAATTATGGAAATCTCAACGGAAACGATTATTTGACTAAATCTCGCCAAAAACAAGTATCAGTGTATTAAAAACAAACGCTTCCTCAAAGGAAGTTGTTATTAATCATCTTTAAAAAAACCTTATCTCGACTGTGACCTCCATACGTTGCGAAAACTGCGGAATCGAAGCCGTAAGCTACACATACGTACGCTTGAACAACACGGAAACCGACATTTTAACCTTGTAAAGAATCGATACGAACTATTCTAACTCATATACTGTAACGATATATATTTATTTTGTATCGATTACAATTAAATCTGCTGTCAATAATGTTGATCAAAATCATTCATTGACGCATATCGACATTAGATACAAGGAAGTGGTAAAATTATTTCAAATTTATTGACACCTAATCCAAATAAAAAAACATACACTACTCACATCGCAGTACTTTTACAAAATAGTAATTTTGAATTATTAATTCTGGAATAATTCACAAACATAACTTTATTTTGTTCATTAATTTCATCAAATATTTTTTTTTTTAGAATACAGAAGCTCACGCGATTTCAAAAATGGAACGCTATAAAATAAATTTTGATTTATGAATTTTAATTTTGACCGAATACTGGCCATCTAAATTTAGAGTCACACCGTTAGTGTGGAAATCATTTTGATTTATGCATTTTAATTTTGACCGAAATGCGGCGTTCCATTTTGATGTTCTATCATGACAAAATGCATTTGAGAATTGGCAATTTTTGGCGTTATTTTAAGATGAGTGCCCATAGTGGCAAACGGCACGTGTCTCTCTCATATGGTGTCTGAACATTTGTTATTGCGTACGCGTACGAGCGGTGAGACACAGGGGCATCCAGTTCGCTTCCTGGATCAGTAACTGTCTGCTACTATCAAGTAAATGTTTTAATCATGACAATTATTTTGATGTTCTTCAAAGAGAATAGTGTTTTTAAAGAATTATAAAAAAAAGAGTTTCAATGGTTACTTTGTAACTTTTTTTCACACAGTCCAGGATTATTATTTCTAGACATAACTGCACAATTAGTACCTTTTTTATGCAACTTAGAATGGCAAACAAGTTGACGGCCCACCTGATGGAAAGTGGTAACCGTCGCCTATAGACATAAGCAGTACAATGGACATAACAGATATATTATATACTATATACTGTTTCGCCCATGATACAACACGACAGGAATGGGAGTAGTTAGTATAAAGTAATATAGTAATTAGCAGTTAGAATAGTTAGTACCTACATAGCTTTATTTGCTTCTTCTGAGTAGGCATCATCACCCTACCTTTTTATGTCATGAAGCATCGATGTGTTTTTTTTTTACAATGGTGTATCTGAGATTATCTCCCAAGGAGCTTGATTCTTTAAGAAGCTTGCGAATCTTCGCTCGCATCTTGGAGTGGGCATCAAACTATTTCAGGAAGGGCACGGCCTGTCCCTCTAAATATGTCTATGTTTTTCGGTCTAAATGATTCAAACTACATATTATACAACTTGATTCTGCTAATATTACAAGAGCAAGCGTTCACACTGTTACACAGGTTAAACTTATAAATGTGAGATCGATAATATCTTTTTTTTTTATACAACTTAGAATGGCAAACAAGCTGACGGCCCAGCTGATGGAAAGTGGTAACCGTCGCCTATAGACATGAGCGGTACCATGGACATAACAGAGTATACAGTTTCGCCCATGATACCCCCCCCGCGTTGCTATTCCTGAGGAATCAGGTGTTACTCTTCTATATCCTGTAAATTCATGCCATATCCCACCTTTCAAACCGAAACACAACCACGCAAACACAACTGCTTTACGATTGAAACACGAATAGGACAGAGGTACCCAAGCAATCAACTTTTGTACAAAGTCTCCCTCTGGTCTTAAACATGAAGTAGTATAATGATACTAATTATGGCATATAAGGATAAAGGCTACATTTTATCTCAAACAGTAAACATATCCCGGTCCTGCAGACGCAGTCGCAGGTAAAAGTTAGTTTTTTATATAATTTGGAATAGTATATAAGCTGATAGAAAGTGGTAATCGTCGCCAATTAGGTGACATTATCATTGTCCAATTTTGATGAACGCATTGTGGTAATTTAGCTATATTATGATCAAAATTAAAAATTTAACGAAAGTAATTTATTGATAAAGCCAAACCTATTATAACTATTATGTTTAGTAATAATACTATTAAATTGAATTAGTATGTGGGCGTTGTTTACTATAAGCTTAGTGTTTGATGAGAAATAAAAAAATATAAATAGGCAACCACATATACTAGTACGTACAAGTTTATCAATATTTAAGCCAATATTTTAACCGATGTTAAAAATAATATTATAAGAGGCGGAATTTTTATACTTCCTAGCAATAAATTCTGTTTATCAAATAAGCTGTGACGTACCACGGATAACCATAGGCAAAGTGTCAAACGAGCATCGGACGCTCGTAATTGATGTACGACACCGAGTTAGTTTATGATCTATCAATGTCTATAGTTAATTGTATTGGAGATCTGTAATTCTAATGCAAAATCATGGTCAATATCATTATCAGTATCAATTATACGAGTACTAAGCGTACTTTTTAAATGACTTCAAAAAGAAATGTTTTTTTTTTGTTAAGTGATAACTTTATTCAAATTTGATATTTTAAAAATCTAAACTCCCGTGGTCTTTATCTTTTATAAAAATACTGTCCAATTTGAAAATAATTATTTTATTTTTGAAGATACATATAGCGATTAGCGAATTAAAAGACTATGTAATAATGAAATCTGAGGATAAATACCAAGCCACTATGCTGATAGTAA